TAAAAAAGCAAAATATATCTAAAAACAAACATAAGAAAGAAAACAATAAAGATGAGACTAAAATTAAAGTGAAAAGTAATTTTAAAACAATAAACTAAAAGCTGGTTAGTTTTAATTAATTTTTATTGAATTTTTATGAACTTCATACACAATGTTTTGGTCATGTTTAGATCCCCTCCTGTATCTGCAAACCTTTTACTAATCTCCCCACCACATTTCTGCTCTTTATATATAATAAAGGTTTATAAAGTCAGGTTTGTGTCCTTCAGTATGGACTCATTTACTGGAGCCTGGTCAACCTACTAATACTAAGAGACTCATCCTTAAATGAGAATGACTCTCCCCCTCTGAGCAGTCATTGGTTACCAATAGTTCCTCAGGTAAGGTTGGGGTTTCTTACCTACTTCACCATGTCTATGCTGGGATTGTGTCTGGCTTGAACTTACATGGGACTTGTGCATGCTGCCACCATTGCTGTGAGTTCATATGAGTGACTGACCAGCTGTCTGAAAGACACTGTTTCCTTGTGGTCATCCACTGCTTCTGGCTTTTACAATATTTCCACCACAACCCCCTTCCATGATGATCCCTGAGTCTTGAGAGGCAAAAGTTTGACATAGGTGCCCTACTCAGAGATAAGAAGCCTACAGTCTCTTGTTCTCTGCATTTTGAACAATTGTGGTTCTCTGTGTTAATCACCATCTGCTGTATAAGAGATGCATTAATCTATGGGTATAACAAGAAGTCATTAAATACCAGTTTAATACTATATCTGTTTAGCAGAATAATTGTATTAGGCTTTTTCCCATGGCCTGTGGGCTGTCTAGCCTCAGGTTCCTAGGCCTGATATCATTGTCAGGTATGGGCTTCGTCTTATGAAGCAGACTATTTTTTTGTTTTTTGAAACAGGATCTCCCTGTAGCCCCAGCTGGCCTGGAACTCACAGAGATCCACCTGCCTCTGCCTCCCAAGTGCTGGGATTATAGGCATGCACCACCATGCTTGGCATGAAGCAGACTTTAAATCAAGTTAGAAAGTAGTTGGTTACTCTTGTGATATTCATGCCATTGTTGCACCAGTGGGTATATCTTGTGAGGCCAGTTGTTGTAGCCTGCAGGATTCACAACTGGGTAAGGTTCATGCTAAACTTTCTTTTCAGGTAGTTTGCATAGCACCTTCCAGCTCTATGAATGTTAGATAACAGAGATGAGGCTTTGGAGTCAGCACCAGCTTGATTTCTCCTTGTTTGATCTACAGTTCATGTAGGTAATGTTTTCAGTAATAGTTTCTTACCGTGAGATTCTGGTGGGTAACCAAAAGCAGGGGCAATGGCTAGTATTGTGTGAGGGTCTATGGGACCCCTGGTCATCAGCTTCAAAAGAGGGAGTCCATTCCCAAAAAGTCAGGTTTTTTTTAAAGGATCCATAAAATTTGGGCTGGAGAAATGACTCAGTGGTTAAAAGCACTGGCTGCTCTTGCAGATGACCTAGGTTTTGTTCCTAGCACCCACATGGTGGCTAACAACTCTCTGTATCTCCAATTCCAGGAGATCCAACATCCTCTTCTGCCCTCTGCAGGCACTGTATGCATGTGGCGCACTTACGTACATGCAACTTCATATATACATACAGCTTCTCAAATCATGTTAGAAGGGTCTCAACATTCAATCATCAGGAAATTTTAAAATATCAGTAGTTATTTTCATTTTAAGAAAAAGTTGTATGAAGTTGCAAAAGCTCAATTTAAAAATGAACTGAAAAAAAGAAAAAAAAAGAAAGTTTCCTTTCCACTCTCCCCGCCCCCAGCACTGAACACAAAACAATGGACTTATGCATCAATTTCATATTTGTGTGAAGCAGTAACAATGACCATCAATAATTTGGAATTTCTGTTTACAGTTGCTCCAATTTTTTTTTCATTTTCAAAAAGCCATTATCCATTGTTGCCATGAAACAAAGATTATAGATTCTAGGCCTCAAAGATTCAGAAACCAATGTTAAGTCAAAGAAAATAGAAATCAGGGAGTTACACTAAATTTCTGGATCTAGCATACTAAAAAAGAAGAGTGAAACCTAGGAAAAGTCATCTAATTATCCTAGCTCCCTCCCTCACCGCCCCCATTAACCTACTACTGTACATCAAATACTGTGGATATGAGTCCAAGTCATCCTAGACAATCCAGTGAACAAAGTTAGTGTGTAACGCACTGGTGTGAAGTGTGAGATACAAGAGTCCCTTCATTCTTCATCAAAGTATATGTATATATATGTATTCCAGCAGCCAGAATAGATAGCTCAGCAACTAAGAGTGCTTCTGCTCTTCCAGAGGACCCAAGTGCACTTCCCAGCACCTACGTCAGGCAGCTCACAACAACTACCTGCATCTTCAGCTTCAGGGGATCCAACAGCCTCTTCTGGCCTCTGTGGGCACCCACACACATATGGCATAGACACACAGAAATACACAAATAAAGTAAAAATATATCTTAAAAACACATATATATTCCAATTAGTAAATAAACAAAACTTTGGACAAATGCTTAGAAAATAAATAGGATGTACATAGGAAAATAAGCACAAAACATATTCCCAATCGCGAGCTGTTAATCAAACGCCTATACACATCACTACACTACTGCACCACTTAGTCTGTAGACTGATTAAAATAAAAAATACTGAAAACACCTAGCGCTGGATAATATGTGGAGCAACAGGATTTCAGACATTGCCAAACGGGTTATGAGACTATGCAATCTCTTCAGAACAGGATTTGCCATATTCTCTTAAAAACCAGCTTTATCTAAACAGAATTCATACATCATAAAGTTCACACATTTAATGTATACAGTTAGGAGGATTTTACTATATTCACAGTTGTATAACCATCAATACAACCTATTTTTAGAACATTTTCGTTAGCTCAAAAGAAGCTCCACACTCGTTAGCACTTCTCCATTCCCCACATCTTACCTCTAGGGCTAAATGCAATGCTGATCCACTTTTGATTGATTTTGATTTATAAGAATTTACCTATTCTGGAAACTTCATATAAGTGGGATGATATATGGATTTTTGCAACTGGCTTCTATAATTAGTTTCAGAAGCAATCAATACTGTAGCATATATTAGATCCATTCTCTTTTTTTAAATTATTTTTATTTTTAGGTGTATGAATGGTTTTCATGCAGGTATGTGAGTGCACCCGTGTCATGAAGAAGGCGTTAGATCCCTTGGAACTAAAATTACAGACAGTTGTTAGCCATCATGTAGGTACTGGGAACTGAACCCAGGTCCTCTGCAAGAGCAGCCAATCCTCTTAATTGCTGAGCATTTTAGTGCAAAATATATTCCATTGTATGGCTACACCAGATCTTATTTGGCCATTCAGTTGATAGACATTTAAGTTGATGATGCTTTCTAGTTATCATGAATAATGCTGCTATGATCACAGATGTGTACATTTTTGTGTAATTGTGTAAGTTTTAACTTCTCTTAGATATGTATCTGTGCATGAAATTGATGAATCACATGTTGCTCAATGTTTAAGAGTTTGAAGAACTGTCAGAGTGTTTTCAACCGGAAGCATATGGGTTCTCTCTAAGTCCTTACATCCTTGCCAATGCATCTGGTTTTTTTTTATTATAGACATTCTGGTACATATTAAGTGGTATCTCATTGTGGGTTTGATTAAAATATTATTATAAGGTGAAATATGCACATACCATATACCCTAGCAACCACATGCCTGGCTACTTATTCTAGAGGAAAAAAGTTTTAAAAATCTTCATGCAGCCAGGCATGGTGGCACATGCCTTTAATCCCAGCACTTGGGAGGCAGAGGAGGCAGATCTCTGTGAGTTCAAGGCCAGCCTGATCTACATAGTGAGTTCCAGGACAGCTGGGGTTACAGGGAGATCCTGTCTCAAAAAAGACCAAAAAAAATCTTCATGTAAGGGACTGGAGAGATGGCTCAGCAGTTCAGTGAAGAGCACTGGCTGTCCTTGCAAAGGATTGGGATTTGGTTCCCAGCATCCACATGGCAGCTACCAACCATCTGTAACTCCAGTTCCAGGAGATTTGATGCCCTCTTTTGGCATCTATGGGCATTGCACAACACAGGTACACTTACATGCATGCAGGTAAAACACTCAGACACATTAAAAATAGTTAAAAAAAATAAATTAAAAAGTTCACGTGAGGGTTAGCAAGAGGATTGAGTGAGTATAAGCACTTGCCACGAAGCCTGACAGCTTCAGTTCATCCTTGGGTCAGTCCCACAAGGTAAAAAGAGAGGACTGACTCCCCAAAAATGTCCTTTGATCTCCACATGCATGCTTTGGCACATGTGTGCAGGTGCATACACACAAACACAGACAATAATTATAATTTTAAAACAAAAAAAGAAAAAAATTTTCACATGAACCTTCTTAGGAGCTTTGTATAGAATAGCAAAGAATAGAAACCTTCTCTATTACACCCAAATGTGCTTCAGTAGGTGAACAGATAAACTGTGGTGATATAAAGACACATACTACTAACATGTGCAGCAGAAATTCAGATGGGTCTCAAAGGCATTAAGCTTAGTTTAAAAAAAAAGAGTAACCAAAGTTGCATTTTTGCATCCATTTAGATGCCATTCTCAAAATGAGGAAGTTAAACTAACAGAGGAAAAAAAAATCAGTGGCAAAAGTGTCAGAGGTTAGAGTTTGGACCATATATACAGTTTCTTTGTGTAGAAATGGAATAGTTCTGTACCCTGGTTGGGGAGGCGGGTACTCATATGAACCTGTGTATAGGATCAATTTTCATAGAACCATATGCAAAGATGAGCACATGTAATCGATGATAACATCCCAATGAAGTCTGCAGCAAGTTAGTAGTGTTGTACCAAAGTCAGTTCACTGGATATGATAATATTATTATGAAAGATGTTGTCACTGGGGAAGCTGGATGAAGAGTGTACCTTATTCTAGCATCATTACAATTCCCAAGTCCCAAGACTCAGTCTGACCCTTTGCCCCAGCCTACCACTTTAAGGAAAGCCCTCTTCACATCTTTATTCCGAAGGCTGTAGATGATGGGGTTCAGGAAGGCAGAGATGACATTATAGAAGAGAGCCAGCTTCTTATCCTCCTCTGGGGAGGACTCAGAGCCAGGTCTCATATACATAACCATACACGGGATAGAGAACATAGTGACCACAGTGATGTGAGAAGCACAGGTGGAAAAGGCTTTGAGCCTCCCTTGAGTGGAGCGTATCCTCAAGATAGCAGCAAAGATATTGATGTAGACAACAATGATGAGGGACAGTGGGATCAAGAGAAGGATGAAGCCTAGGATGAAGTCTACCTGGTCATTGAGAGAGGTGTCTGCACAGGCCAACTTCAGGACAGCAGGCACTTCACAGAAGAAGTGGTTGATCTCATTGGGGCCACAATAGGGAAGAATCATAGCAGAGACAGTATATATTAGGGCACAGCTGATACCCCAGAATCCACAGAAGGTCACCAATGACCCACGCAGCAAAGGGCTCATGATGACTTTATATCTGAGAGGATGGCAAATGGCCACATACCTATCATAAGCCATGATTGCAAAGAGCCAAGACTCAGTGATCCCCAGCATCAGGAAGATGTACATTTGGGCCACACATCCAGTATAGGAAATGGTCTTCTTCTCACGGAGCAGATGTACCAGCATTTGGGGCACTGTGGTGGTGACATAGCCCATATCCAGAATGGATAAGACACTGAGGAAAAAGTACATGGGTGTGTGGAGACGGGAATCCACGCGAATCAAGGTGATAATGAGCCCATTACCTAGGAGGGTGATGAGGTAGAGGAGGAGAAAGACGCTGAATAGAATGACGTTTATCTTTGTATTACTGGAGAATCCTAGAAGAACGAACTCGGTGAGAGAGCTGCGGTTTCTCCGGAGGAAGTCCTGCATCCTTCTTCTGCCGCAGAGATAAAGAAGAGTTGTCATACACAAAGGCGGAACCTCCAGATCTGACTGCTGACATTCATATAACAGGCGCACCAAACGCAAGTAGCAAAATCCCAAAGAACTGGGAACAAAAACTTTAAAGAGAATTTCCATTTGATATGAAACAGTATGTCCATCCTGTATTACATAATCCCAGGTATTCTGGGACACCACATAATGAATCTCACATTTCAAAGTGTTAGAATTTGCAGGGGGAAGAGCATCCAAAAATTAAGGTCTTAATTTGGACTGTGTAGCTTACGAAAAGTCTCAAAAAAGGTAAGGGAAAAAATTGGGAGTTTTAAGAATGTAGCATTTGTGGGGTTGGAGAGATGGCGCCATGGTTAAGAGCACGGACTGCTCTTGCAGAGGACCCAGGTTTGGTTCCCAGCACCCATAGAGCAGCTAACAATGGTCTGTAAGCCCAGTTTACAGGATCCAATGCCCTCTTTTGACCTCCACTGGCATTGCATGACATGGGTGCACTTACATACATGCAGACAATGCACTCATACACATAACACAATATATGATAATAAATAAAAGATTTTAAAAGATTTTGAAAAACAATGTAGCATTTGTGTGCATTTCATATCAAATGTCAAAGCTTGCCTTCACTTTGGAAATTATCCAAAAATTAGCTTTAGTTTGACCACTCAAAAAGCTTGATAGGCACCCTCAGGTTAGAGATGTAGTTATTAGCCTAATTCCTTGGAATAGCAGGAAAATAACTATCACTGGAAATAAATCACACTCCACAGAGGCAAAGTCACCTCTTTTTATGGACCAGAGGAAAGTGGTACAAGGAGCAAAGGAAACATAACAGCTAAGGGTAACGGCCTACAAGTTTCCAAAATGGACGAAAGATACCCGTCTGCAAATAGAGCTGCTGTCCAGTGAACACTAAGAAATTTAAATATAAAGGAAAACTTCTGAAAACCAGACCTTATCATGAAACTGGTTTAAGAAGGGATGGTATGCCTAGCGGGAGGCAGAGGCAGGCGGATCTCTGTGAGATCGAGGCCAGCCTGGTCTACATAGTGAGCTCCAGGCCAGCTGGGGCTACAGGGAGACCCTGTCTCAAAAAGACAAAGAGAAGAAGAAGGGATGGCACATGTCTCCAAATGGCTAACAATTCAGGCTGAGGCCTCCCCACAGAAGCCACTGAAAGCAGAAGACAGCCAAATAGCCCAGGTGATGAAAAGTGGAGAGACAGAAAGGAGGGAGGAGAGGGAAAGGAAAGGAAGAGAAGAGCACAGGGAGGAAAAGGAAGAAAATCTCCAACCTAGAACTCAGTGAATGTGTCTTTTAGAAGTCAAAGTTGCTTTCTCTCAAATGAAAGCAGATCTGTGATTACCAAAGGCCAACAATAAAACAAAGTTCAAAGAACTGTTTTAGTCTGGAGGAAAATGGTCCCTATGGAAGAACAGAATTGAAGGAGAGAATGGGAAACAGAAAGAGGAAAGTATGTATGAGCTATCATAGTAGAACACTGATTGTTTGAACCAACAAAGTTAACTATAACATACGAAGCAGAAGGGGTTTCTGCATAGCACATACTTTCCAATGACTATAAATTACTATGCTATTACTATTATTACTATTTACTATAATGTACATAGTACATGTGTTGGTATCTGCCTGTCTGTCTCTATGTTTGTCTGTAGGACATAAATAGCCCAAAGAATAAGGAGGGAAAATGAATAATTTTTTCAATGTTTGGAAAGTGCTAATTCAAGTAAGCCTATAGTAAGTCAAGGTCTTTAGAACACTTTTATTCTACAAAGGGACCGATAACATTTTAAGTTTTACAAGCTATAAACAGTCACTGTTGCATACATCATGTAACATCTTGGTCAGTGATGGACACATATACAATGAATACCCCTAAGATTATAAAAGAGCTAAAAGCATTCCTACCTAGTGACATGATAGCCAGCTGCTGCACATCAACACATTGCTCAGACCTCTGTGATAATACTAGTGGGAGCAAACTGACTTCCAGGTGTATAAAAGCACAGCACACGCAATTATGAACAGCACATAACACTCGATAATGATGACAAATGACTATGTTACTATTTATGTATTTACTATTCAATAAGTTTATATCATCATTGTAATTTATTTATATTTATAAAAATGTTTAATATAGAATGACAAAATATATTATAGAGCATGCTGTGTCATGGAGTGTGATGTAATATAGAGCATGCTGTGTCATAGTGTGATGGATTATAGAGCATGCTGTGTCATGGAGTATGATGTAATATAGAGCATGCTGTGTCATAGTGTGATGGATTATAGAGCATGCTGTGTCATAGTGTGATGGATTATAGAGCATGCGGTGTCATAGTGTGATGGATTATAGAGCATGCTGTGCCATAGTGTGAAGGATTATAGAGCATGCAGTGTCATAGGATTATAGAGCATGCTGTGTCATAGTGTGATGGATTATAGAGCATGCTGTGTCATAGTGTGATGGATTATAGAGCATGCTGTGTCATAGTGTGATGGATTATAGAGCATGCTGTGTCATGTGTCATTGGATTATAGAGCATGCTGTGTCATAGTGTGATGGATTATAGAGCATGCTGTGTCATAGTGTGATGGATTATAGAGCACGCTGTGTCATAGTGAGAGCATGCTGTGTCATAGTGTGAAGGATTATAGAGCATGCTGTGTCATAGTGTGAAGGATTATAGAGCATGCTGTGTCATAGTGTGAAGGATTATAGAGCATGCTGTGTCATAGTGTGAAGGATTATAGAGCATGCTGTGTCATAGTGTGAAGGATTATAGAGCATGCTGTGTCATAGTGTGAAGGATTATAGAGCATGCTGTGTCATAGTGTGAAGGATTATAGAGCATGCTGTGTCATAGTGTGAAGGATTATAGAGCATGCTGTGTCATAGTGTGAAGGATTATAGAGCATGCTGTGTCATAGTGTGAAGGATTATAGAGCATGCTGTGTCATAGTGTGAAGGATTATAGAGCATGCTGTGTCATAGTGTGAAGGATTATAGAGCATGCTGTGTCATAGTGTGAAGGATTATAGAGCATGCTGTGTCATAGTGTGAAGGATTATAGAGCATGCTGTGTCATAGTGTGAAGGATTATAGAGCATGCTGTGTCATAGTGTGAAGGATTATAGAGCATGCTGTGTCATAGTGTGAAGGATTATAGAGCATGCTGTGTCATAGTGTGAAGGATTATAGAGCATGCTGTGTCATAGTGTGAAGGATTATAGAGCATGCTGTGTCATAGTGTGAAGGATTATAGAGCATGCTGTGTCATAGTGTGAAGGATTATAGAGCATGCTGTGTCATAGTGTGAAGGATTATAGAGCATGCTGTGTCATAGTGTGAAGGATTATAGAGCATGCTGTGTCATAGTGTGAAGGATTATAGAGCATGCTGTGTCATAGTGTGAAGGATTATAGAGCATGCTGTGTCATAGTGTGAAGGATTATAGAGCATGCTGTGTCATAGTGTGAAGGATTATAGAGCATGCTGTGTCATAGTGTGAAGGATTATAGAGCATGCTGTGTCATAGTGTGAAGGATTATAGAGCATGCTGTGTCATAGTGTGAAGGATTATAGAGCATGCTGTGTCATAGTGTGAAGGATTATAGAGCATGCTGTGTCATAGTGTGAAGGATTATAGAGCATGCTGTGTCATAGTGTGAAGGATTATAGAGCATGCTGTGTCATAGTGTGAAGGATTATAGAGCATGCTGTGTCATAGTGTGAAGGATTATAGAGCATGCTGTGTCATAGTGTGAAGGATTATAGAGCATGCTGTGTCATAGTGTGATGGATTATAGAGCATGCTGTGTCATAGTGTGATGGATTATAGAGCATGCTGTGTCATAGTGTGATGGATTATAGAGCATGCTGTGTCATAGTGTGATGGATTATAGAGCATGCTGTGTCATAGTGTGATGGATTATAGAGCATGCTGTGTCATAGTGTGATGGATTATAGAGCATGCTGTGTCATAGTGTGATGGATTATAGAGCATGCTGTGTCATAGTGTGATGGATTATAGAGCATGCTGTGTCATAGTGTGATGGATTATAGAGCATGCTGTGTCATAGTGTGATGGATTATAGAGCATGCTGTGTCAGAGTGTGAAGGATTATAGAGCATGCTGTGTCATAGTGTGATGGATTATAGAGCATGCTGTGTCATAGAGTAATGGAATATACAGCATTCTGTGTCCCGGAGTGTGAAGGATTATACAGCAAGCAGTGTCATAGAGTGTGATGTAATATAGAGTATGCTGTGTCACAGAGTGATGGAATATAGAGTATGCTGTGTCATGGAGTGTGAAGGATTATAGAGCATACAGTGTCATTAAGTGTTGTATGCTGTATTATGTTGGCAGCAGCCTCATACATTTCATAGCTATCACATTTCTTGATCAAGTCATAAGGCTACTTTGAATGTTTGATGTATATACCATCCAGGTTTGTGCAAATATATTCTATAAAGTTCACACAATGACGAAGTTGCCTACTGATACATTTCTCAGAGCATATCCTTGTCACATAACTGTATTTTTAACTCTTTAATACTGCAATGTTACCAACCCCTGCTCTAGAGTGACAACCAAAAGATCTATACAAAACAACAAAACTCTAAATATAATAAACTATGCGAATGATTAAAAGTTTAATAAATGATTCAGAGATCTTGGTTATCTCAAAAGAAAGCCAAAAAGTAGAATAAAGAACCTGATTAAGGTAGTGAAATGACCTCTACAATGAAAACTTTAAGAAAATGAAGAAGTTGAAGGAGACTAGATGACAGTAAACTCTAGTGAAAATGGCCATACTACCAAAACATCTACAGATTCTATGCAATCCCATTTAAAATCCCCATGCTATTCTTTACAGAAGTAGAAAAATACATTCTTTAAACTCATATGGATTCTGTATTCCATAAGAGTCCAGCAAATGTT